ATTTTCTTGGGTAGCCATTTGGAGATGGGAGTGAGAAGTGGGGGGGGGCAGCCCCTCAGACTCCCCTCCCCAGCCGCTGCCTAGCGAGTCCCATCCCCGCCGGTGCTATTTTCTCCTCTACCCTGGGGCCTCAAGAGGGACGCGCGGCCCTCCCCAAGCGGCCTCTTGTCATCCCCCCCCCCACACACACACTGTCGTTTGTCGGGGGGTTGTTCCCACGATCCTTTGCAGAAGGAGTTGGGGAGTGTAACCTCAAATGTCGCCCCCAAGAGATGCTCTTAGCTCCCCCAGACCCCCAGCCTGTAACTCTTTCTCTGCCTTGAATTGGCCCACTTCAGGCCGATGCGCCCTCAAAAAGTGCTTTGGCTTCTAACATGCGGTTCGTCCCCTTCCCACATTCTGGACCTCTTTCCGCCCCCCCACCCCATGGCGTCTGAAACCACCTTCTGGAGGTGCGGAAGAGCCACCCCTCCCCTCCCGGCCCGCACCCGGGGGCTGTTTTCTGAGGCGGATTCATCGTATGAATCGCCCCTTGCAAATCTCCCTTTCCGGAGACCGGGGGGGAGGAAGGCCCAATCGCCCCTCGCAAATCTCCCTTTCCGGAGACCGGGGGTGAGGAAGGCCCGGATGAGATGCCCAGGAAATGCCCCTGAGAAGTCCGTGCCGCGTCCTCAGGCAGGTCTTTTCTTCTCGGGCAGGGGTGCAGCGGTTTAAAAACTTCCCTGGAATGTTTGAATTAAGTTGTAGCTACCCCACCATCCCACCCCCTCCTTCCATGCCAGGACAAGCTGCCTCTGTTGAACTGCTGCCTGTTTGGTTAATCTGGTTGCCATTCAGTTTGTTGGCATATAACAGCTTTTGTACCTTTTTGCATCTGTGGGCGGAGAGCCAGCTGTTTCCCCGCAGAGAACACCGCAGGGGTGCCGGGTGTTTCGGAGTACCCAAAGGCACATGGGGATTTCCCCCTGCTTAACATTAACATCTGAACTGCCATGCTTTGGCAGTTCTAGCCCCGTGCTGGTGCGAGCAACCAAGCCTTGTCCTAGCTCATCGTCTACCCAGCGATTCGAAAGCTTCGGCGAGTAGATAAAGTGGGGACCACCCGTAAGGGGGTGGGCACACCCCTCCCCTTGGGGAAGGTGTTAGCTGCCAAGGCAACTTCTGAGGCGGGGCGACCGGAAAGACAAAAGAGCTGTGTCGGCTTCCCTGCAGTGGAGCAAGTCGGCCAGGAGGTGGCAGTGTGTGGCTGCACAACATCAAGAAGCCAGACGTCATCAGCCAGCCGACAAGATGCCGTAGGAACGCGACTGACCCAGCCCGCAGATGAAGCCCGGCTAGCTGCAATGTGTGTGTAATTAAGGCTGTATGTTTGTCTTCCCTATCCCCACCAAATATTGTTAGTCCAACTGTCTCAAGAGTAACTGTAAATCGCTCTGAGCCCGCAGGTATGTGGGAAAGAGCGATCAATAAATCGAAAGCATCATCATCATCATCATCATCACCATCATCAATAATAATAATAATAATAACAACAACAACAACAACAACAAAGCATAATTGCTAGTAGAAAATTCATTTTGGGTGAGTAACAGTCATATGGAACCAGACTGGTCGCTGTTGCTAACAGACCAATCCAGAAAGACTCTGACTTTCAGCGGGAACAATTCCCATTGGGCCCAAGCGCTCATCTTTGATTGGATGTTATTGTTCCAGGGGGTGTGGTTTTCCTGGTTCAAACTATATAGTTGGGTTGTTCTATGTGTTGTCTGTCTGTGTTCTGAGCTAATAAAGAAATCACTTGTTTGAAACGCTGCCTCGATCTCCGTACATAATAGTTTCGTTTAGTAGAAAAGAGCAAGAGTCCAGGAGCACCTTAAAGACTAACACAATCTGTGGCGGGGTAGGAGCTTCTGTGAGTCACAGCTCACTTCTTCAGTGACTCACAAAAGCTCCTACCCTGCCACAAATTTTGTTTGTCTTTAAGGTGCTACTGGACCTTGTTCTTTTCTACCACTACAGACCGTCTAACACACCTACCCATCTTGATCTATCTCAGTGGTTTGGTTTAGTTTTACAACCATTTTTCTGTCCAGTAGGGGCACCCAAAGCAAACTGATCAAATAACATACAAAAATGCAGGGAAAAGACTAAAATAACTCCTAGAGAGGCAGCAATTGTCCTTAGCCATGATGGCCCCTTTCTGCAAACCAGACACAGCGGATGTGGCTGTATTGATAAGAGCACCCAAAACAGCCATCAGCTAAAACAATCGCAGGCATCATTCAAACGGTTCACAAAGCCAATTATTGTAAGATTTCTTACCTTTATTATTATGAGCCCCTTGCTCGTACTTCTGTTTTTTTTTAAAGAGGATAGATCTATCACTGGCTTGGAACTGTGTGACTGCTAAATGGAACCATGTTCTTCTGCAGGCCCAGTAGGTACGGGGCACTGTTTCCCAACCGTTACCATTTTTCTCACTCACACATAACCCCAGGCATTTAATTTGTTACAAGATGGTCTCCACTGAAAGAACAGGAACTTGTTTTCAGGTGAATTTCTGCTTTTCAAAGAAATTCTCTTTAGCTGCTAGGTGACCAGGGTAGAGTTTCCAGCTCTGGGTTGGGAAACACCTGCAGATGTTGGGGGTGGAGCCTGGGAAGGGAGGGATTTGGGGAGGGGAGGGACCTCAGCAGGATAGGATGCCAGAAGGTCCATCCTCCAAAGTGGCCATTTTCTCCAGGGGAACTGATCTCTGTAGCCTGGAGATTGCTTGTAATGCTAGGAAATCACCAGGTCCCACCTCGAGGTTGGGGTATTAGTTCCTGAAGCCCGCAGGCTGGATCCTTCCTGGCCAAGATGTTTGGGGACCAAACTATTGTGATAATTGGTTAATACAGTGGAGTTTTGCCCAGTCATAAAAGTGTGATACGGAGTGCAGTAAATAAATCTCCTAAGAAGTATATTGCTAAAAGGGTAAACTTACATTCATTCAACTATATCCAGTTCACGTTCAGGTTGCAGTCGAAAGAAGAGGATGAAGTAGGGATCCCAAGTCCCCCCGGGGGGTGGGGAAACCCCTGCCCCAGAGGCCCGTTCCCCGGCGGCGCCAGATCGGGCACCGGGGGGAACTCCTCCCTGACGTGCGCGTCACCCGGAAGTGATGGGAGGACGCTGGGCACACTGGGGGCGGGGCCACAGCAATACAAGGGAAAACTCTATGGTTTTCCCTTGTATGGCCGTGGCCCCG